ATCATCGTATATTTACCACCTGATGAGTTGATACAAGATATATCGTCATCACTGAATTGCAACGAAATACGTTTTGGTAGCCATGTTTTAAATAATTTATCATTGCTCACATCTTCCAAAGTTAATAAAATTGATTTACCAAATCGTGTAGAATAAGTTGACATATTTTCAATTATGTACACTTCATCAATTAGCAATGATGATAAGGCCTTTTGCTCTAGTATTTCAACCTCCTGTACAATCAAATTATTGATTTTATTCAAGTCTACTTTTGAAACGGACATGATGAAAATATGTATGAAAATATAAACAATTTCCAACAGACAAATACACTCACCGTCTTCCTTCTATTACGAACTGAATAACACTCTACCAATTGCTAACTGCTGCAGATATTTTCGTCTACTGATTTCATAGTGTGCTAGGCATTTCTTTTATATTAAACAGTGCGAGTCAGCCCCACCACGAAATCGTGAAAGGTTCACATTGCTAGTTGCTACCCACTAGAGATTCCTGACGTCACAGCCAAGCCCACCTCCCAACTGGATGCGATAACAGATGTCGATATGAACAGGCAGTGGTCGTTGCGCTCTCGTAGATGGCAGACGTTAGGCAGACAGTCCTCGGCCGCCTGCGTGACACCATCGATAGCGAGGCTAGAGCGATGCGTTACGTTACAGCCTTCACTGCATCGAGAGAGGTGAGGGCACACCGATGAATACGCATTACTCAGCCACATGTCGTGGAGTGAACATCTTGCTCTCTTACCGTTGAACGGTTGTTGCTGCGACGTCACACCACTACTAACTTGGTGGGCTCACACCGATGGAACATTCATTACTTGAGGGATCTTCGAAGTATGCAGACTTATGTTTGTACATAGACAAGCACATGATGAAACCCGTGCATTCTCACACACACACACACACCAATCAAATGTAATTACGTCACTATGTCACACACACACACATACACACAAAATCTCATATGAAAAAAATTCTGAACGTTCCATGCACCAGACCCTTCAAGGTCACATCGCCTTGATGTTACTAAACAACAACAAAAAAAGCAATCAACACGTCATAGTGGTGGGGGAAGGCCCAGAACCGGCTGTAATCTGCTACTGGCATGATATACAACAGTATTTTTCTATATAGCACATAATATTTGGTGAACCCCGAATTCATATTCGGGCAATATAAAGATATATTGGGAATGAAAAAGTCATCTTGGAACAAACAATGTGGCTCATGTAGTTTAATATTTATCTCAAAGATGATCATGTGTCACTGTGTTAAAAATAACAGTTTGGTGTAGGGATAATATTCAATTTGACTCAAAATAATTTTTCGAATATTTTCGAGATTTTGACCGGACAGTTTACAAAACGCAACACGTGTTTGACTATAAAATAGCTTTCCAAAGTGTTTTCATTCAATATGAAAACGCTTAAAGAATATATAGCGAAACACGTGTTGCGGTTTCGTAAACTGTCCAATGAAAACCTCCCAAAGAAGAGTTACTTGCTTACGTTATGAATTTTCATCAAGTATTGGCCAATTTCATCACATATGGCTCAATATAATTGTCTTGAACCAATATTTCAAACAAGACTCAACCTCTAACGGAAGCAAGAAACTCTTTGGAAGGTTCGAAATAGATGAACATTTCAACCTATCAGACCACTATTATAATATTCATGCAGTCATTGTTCACTGTGGTTCTGGCGTTGAATTTGGTCATTATTACGCCTTGGTCAAAGAAGAAACGGACTGGTTTAAGTTTGACGATAGTCGTGTCACGAAGTGTTCTGGCGATGCAT